ATACTGATTGCAGAATTTTCGATAACTTTTGGAGGTGCCTATGAAAGCCAAAATATGGTGAGAATTCCGCCGATCACCCCTTCTATACTGAAATGCGCTTTACACAATGTGTTTGTGAGAATCGGATAGTAATTTAGTCAACAGTTTTGCCTGAGATTCATCCTGCGTAAGTTATGCAAGACTAACCACAAGAGGAAATTTAGTCGAGTTGCCGAAAAGATATCCACATTCTGTCGTCTGATTTAAAGATTTAAAGCGGCTGCCTTCAAAAAGCTGTCGCCAATTAGGAGCAGAGCAGAGGCAGCAAAAGCTCAACTTGTGTCTTCGAGCCTTAGAGTTTGGCCTAAATTCTGGAGAGAATGTGTCAAACAAACCAGATAGGCGGTTAAAAATAGACGCGCATGGATGGGCACTAAGTAAAATACGACTAGGACGAAGTTTATTACGACAAAAGTCTATCAGGTAGAAACTCAAAATTCGCGTACAGATCATCAGTAAAATCCAATCAAAAGGATCTGATGGAGGAAAAGTAGCCCTCACCCACAGGCGGGCGAATTGAATCAAGGTTATCGTAATAATAGTTTCAAGCGGAAGATGGATAACTGCAGTAACCAAAATAAAACGCTGTATAAAGTTTGATTTAGGTCGTAAATTAATAATTAGCGTTCTGATGGACAAAGGGAGATTGTGTAGAATAACAAAAGTAACCAATAAGTTAATTAAGGACTAATACGACCTACCTTTTTAAATGCCACGCGGAATTCGCCACCAGGTGCCATCCCAATTTGGTCCATAATGCTACTGGTAAAGTGAAGCAAGAGATACTGCAGAAGTCCATATGACACACCGAGCTGATGGTACAATAATAAGAAAAATATAAGCGGAGACTAAGTCCTTCATAGTAGTTATTCGAGTACACCAGAAAGAAAATAATTAGGATCCCACGAAATTCGGGACGACGGCATTCGCTTGCTATTGACTAACCGGAAGGTCCACGGGCAGGTCGGGAAACTGGCTTCAGGGAAGGTCAGTCGTAAAATATGCAGATTTCGGGTCTGTTAACTAAACGGTCATGGACCAACAACTAACCGGGAGGCGAGCTCATGCCTGGTGACAGATCTTCCCAAAAAAGCCAGAGTCTGGTGACTGCACGACATTAGCGAACAGAAATCGTCCTTAAATAGGTTGTTACTGCCTCCTCTAAGCTGTTGGCAGAACCTCTGTTCAAAGTACTAGTGAGGCCAACTTGCATAAAACCGTGAATTCTTATCTTATGCAAATTGCTTAGTTGTGAAACTGGACCCATTATACGATGCCCGAGAGAACCGAGTCCAGACCCCTGCCCGTGGATCAGGCGAAAAAGTAAGCAAGTTCGCCCTTTCGAAAGAGGAAACTGATGGGAATTTTTAACTGTCCTTGAGCCGGCAACGCAGTCACAAAAAGCAACCTTTGTCGCAGTGTAATATGGGCACTACTAACTCTCTAGAGGTTCGCCTGATAGACATAGGCAATGCAGCACTGGAGTGCTATATGAGAAGTACTTCTACTGATCTCTTTGACACATACGGTGCCGTAATCCCATAGCCGCCTGACCTGGGTTTCACTCAGAGTGGAAACCGATGGCATCTGCGCATTTTTATGGCACTTTTATGAACGTCGCAATTATTGCCACCTATCTCCATCCGCTGAATAATCACAGCGCGTAGAATTAAGTTTCTCATAACGAACATTAAACTTCTAACAAGCGTCTCACTGTATGCGACTTTCTTGAGGCTTTGAGGAAATGGGACATCACAATGAGTCCACTACATGAGCGGAGAATGACTTGCGAATCACGCTACTCCTGCCAAATGCCAGCTGCCTATACCCAGCAACCTAATCATGACCACACTTAAAACCAAATTTACCAAATACCTGTCTGCGAACACGGAACCAGGTCATAGTTTGACATCCGCACGGCGTATGGCAACGAAAATAAAGACAATAATGGCCCTGACTCCTTTTTTGAAGGTATGAATAAGGTTCTCGCTGCGTTTGTTGAACACATCTCTCAAAAAGATACTGCTACTGAAAGGGACCGTAGCCCAGTTATATTCGAAGTCTGTCGTATAAACGTATCCGACAATCGTAGAGACCTAGTCATGGATGTTTGTTGCTTGTCAGAAGTCCGAATCCCCGACGCAGGCGCCCGAGAAATCAAAATCCCGGGGGTCGATTCTCATTTCACCTTGTA